GGTGGGGCAGGCGGCACAAAGTACTCTGCCATTGGCACTGGCTGTGGGCTGCAACGGGAGGGAAAAGCCGTGTCAGCAGTATGAGGAATGATGACACCCATCACCCATCCTGGCACCCAACTATCTCTGCTCTGGCTTGGTTTGCTCTGAACTCCCATACATGCTCTGTCCCAGGGTCAGGCCGGTGGGGGTGCCCTGCCAGTGGTATGGGCTATGGGGAATGAGGTGGTGAGAAAGCAGCCAACACCCCAGGAGAAAACCATCCATCCATCCTGTCCCCTTATCTGGGATGACGTTACTCCAAAAGTGCTCCTGACTGATTTGGCCTTGGGTTTCACCAGCAGTTTTGGAGCACAACAGCTGCAGAAGAGGGCTCTGCCCTCTACGTCTGCCCTCTATGTCAACCCAGAAATGGGGCATCAGACACCCACCAAGTCTCCCTTCACCTGGGTATCTCTCCCCCCAGAGAGAAGGCTGAAGCCCTACCCGTAATCCTTGACTAAGTGAGGTCTCGGCCCATTGAGAACAGCCTCGGGGGGTGGTGGCACATGGGGCTGCTGGAGGCGGTTGAGGCTGTTCTGCCGGCTGCCCACGGTCGGGCGGTAGACGTGCTCCTGGGGGTTTGTGGCTGCCAGCACTCCCTCCTTGTGCTCCGCCGGGGCCAGGTGGGACGCTGGGGCCAGCAGCTGCGCAGGGTGGTTGGGACTCGCCGGGTACGAGTGGTCGGCCGCGTCTGACGCATAAGATCTATGGCACAGAAAAACCCAACTGTTGTACTCCTGGGAGGGGGGCATCAGTTGGGCTAACGGGTCAGGGGAATGTGAGTTTGGGAATATTTTGGACTTGCGACAAGGAAACAAAAAATGGCCACAAAAATATAGAGGCACAAGACAGCAGAGAGATAGCGGTGGGGAGGACACCAACACAGCTGAACCACCCTTATCTGCTAAATGGAAAGTGGTCTGACTTTGTCCCAATGCCAAGCTGCTTCCAAGGTCCACGACGCCACCCTGGGGGCACCAGCTATCCATGAAGCTACCGTGGGCTTCTGGCTTATCATCCCAACCCTGCTGTGGGCAACACATCCCCCCAAAGACGGAGAGGCAGAGCAAAGCAAAGGCGAGCCAGTGAGCTGAACGTGTAGTAGGTAGAACCTGCCTATTATCTGGGGACAGCGATCCTTCTGATGACGCCATGTGATAGGGGGATGGTGAGAACCTGTTATCCGGTCGGAACTCTTTATCATATGCCATCATGTTCCACTCCAGGCGCCGGTTGCGGGCTTTCCTCACTTTCTTCACCTCCCGGGTGGAGTCCTCCACCAGCCGCTGCTCCTGCAGGCACACAAAGCCCACAGCTCCATCTCCAGCCCAGCTCCTCTGGACCAGGAGCAGTACCTAGGGAGCATTGCCCAGCCCCGCAAGATGCACCTTACACAGTGGAGGGGAGTGCATGGGATAAGCCAGGAAGGTGACTGTCCCCCAGGTCCCAGGCAACCACAGCTCAGGTGTCCCCAGAGTCCCCCACCTGCCCGTTACCTTCTGTCTGCGCTTCTCCTTTCTCTTATCTTCTGTTGCCTGCAACATTTTCTCCTTCCATAAGTTGAAGAAGTAGGAGGGGTCGGTGTAGAATTTGAGGCCATCTTTTTTGTCATCCCTGGGGGTCGGGAAAAGAGAAGAGGGGGTTATCAGCTACAGGAGAAGACCCCCCTGACGCCCCTGCACGTGAGGTTTGACACGATCAGAACCATAAGCCATTGCCTCACCATGAATATGTCCAATACAACAGTCACTACCTGCAGTACCACTGTGTTGGGTCACTCATCCCAAGCAATCTACACAATGGGGATGGTGGCACAGCAACCAGAGAAAGCAGCTTCTCAGCCCTCACCAAGCAGCAGATGAGGTGCAACCCCTGATGCCCCTACTTGAAAGGACCCTCAGGACCCCCTCAACCCTCCCAAGAAGCGATGCTCTACTTGCTGTACCTGTAGGGTGTGAGGATGTTGAGCGGTGGTGGTTTGTCACAGCGCTGGTACATCTCCATCACTGGGTTGGGGATGGAGTTGCGAGACACGACCTGCTGGTTCTGCACCGTGGAGCTCTTGAAGGCTTTCCGCATGTTGATGTCCTGCAGCGAAACTGTGGGCACAGGAAGGAGAAGTGATGCAGAGATGGCCTCAGCTCCCCGGACAAACCAATGGTGGGTGGTCCAGCCACATGCCTCCCAGCCACTCCCACCCAGCCATCACCCCAAAATAGCCCTGGCCTCTCACCTTCCTCCACAGTGGAATCCAGCTGTGTCACCTTGATGACCAGCAGGTCCACCCTCTCCTGCAGCGAGTTCATCCGCATGTAGAAGCTGTTGGCTTCGTTGAACAGCTCACCGAAGATGTCCTCTGCGTGCCTGCCTGGCAGAGGACAACGCGCCCGTCACTGGTACGGCAGTAAGGAATGCAGCTCATCCAGTCCATCCCTTGCCTCCCCACCAGCTCCACGGGCTGCTCTCTCCAGCCTTGTTTTTTTGGGAGCTGAGCCACAGCCTCTCCCAAATCACTGCACGGAGTGAGGGGAGCACAAACACTCATCCTTCTCCTGTTCCCTCCTCTGTGCACACACATCCTTTTCAGTGAGAGCAGCACCCACAGGGGGCACAGAACATTCATGGTGCCCCTCAAAGCCTTTGGATCCACCAGGATGGATGCAGTCAAAAATTCCCATCACACGACACGGCCTGTGGAAACCCAGCCCTGAAGGTGGGAAACTGAGAACAGGGCAGTGTAGGGAGTGTCACAGCAGGGAGAAGCTGTGATTTGTTTCACTGTAGAGTTATTTTTCTGCAGCATCTGGTGCGTCACTGGAACAGCTCCTGATTAGGGTTATTCCTGTCACAGGGCTAAACAAGGAGTCTGGCAGAGCATTGCCAACACCTGTAGGCTACAGCATCCATCCCATCCCAGCATCCATGTCAGCACCCCAGTTCCTCAAGGTTTCCTCCAGAATCATATATCAAACAGCTCCCAAAATCAAGGCACTTTTACTACTTGCTCAGACTGTTTGCCCAACTCAGTCATTTGTATTTGATTTCTTTTTCCCCTGGATTAGGTAGCCATGGCCTGAGTGCTGGTCAAGCAAGACCCTGCACTTCCAGCAGCTCCCTAAATACATGGTTTATTTTTTTTGTGAGTATTTTAGAGAAGAATCTAGTTCCAGAGGAGGGAAAAGAGTGGGATCCCTGAAGAGCCTGCGCTTCTCTCTATTTAAGTAGATATTCAGCAATGAAATAGGTTGCCCCTGTTAAACCTTCACACTGGCTTGTGTAGTGCTCTTGCCTGCCCTTTTCTGCTAAGATCAGTCCCAGCACAGGAAGACAGATAAGGATTTAGACCTTTTATATAGACCTCTCTTCCTCATGAAGCTCTAAGATTAAAAAGAATATGTTGGTGTATTTTAAATCTTTCCCTGACCTTCCTATTTCTGGCCAAGAGGAGAAGCAAGGGGCTCTCAAAGACTTTCTGTCCCCCACTGCACAGACCAGCTGTGGAAGGAAAATGGGTCTTAAAAGGTCACCAAGTCCCTAGTTTGGGCTTGGCCCTGAGCATCTTCCTTTTTTTAATTATCTGGATAATTCCCACTGAATTAGGAGTGGCTGCAGCCCACATGGCTCTCACATAGCCCTTGTTTCTCTGTACTTGGAACCAGAGGAAGCGACTGCGGCATCCAACCTGCACCCCACCGCCCCATCACCATCCCATGCCAGGGTTGCTGTGCCATGACTTACTGAGGCTGCCCAGCTGCTTGATGATGGCAGCCAATGTGCTGTTGGTGACACACTCCAGCTCACTTGTCACCCCATCGGGAAGAGCCCCCCGGCACAGGTGCCGGGGCTCGATATTCCTCTTCACCAGCGGCATGTTGCTGGCGAGCCCTCACGCCTCTCCTAGGAAAAGGAGAAAGAAAGAAACAAAATACAAAGCTTTTGCAACTTGCTATTTTTACCCCCATTCTTTCTGCTCTCCACCCAAGGCACTCATCCCGCCCACAGCAGGTAGCAGCAGGGCTTTTCCAAGCAGGGGATGCTCCATGGATGCAAACCTCCAGATGCCAGCAAGTACATGGATGTCAGGATGGAGGTGAGGACCATGCTGGGGCCCTGTCTCTAGCCTTGTCCTCCACTGCTAAGCCACTGTGTCCTTTCTCACTTACTTCCCAGAGCTGCGCTCAAGCCAGGAGCAAACCGCCGTGTGCTGCAGCCCTTCAGCCAGCCCTGAAAAGCCTCATCCAACCCAAACAGAAGCGAGGAAGCGCTTGTAATGCCATTATTTCCAGCTCACTGCAAAGCTCTCCAGGGTTTTTATTTGTGCACACACTACACTGAGGCAAGCTGCAGTAGCCAGCTCACCCCAGCATCCTGTGTGCCCCCGCCCCAGCATCCCTGTGTGTTCCCACAGCATCTCTGGGTGTCATCTGCGCTGCTGTCATCCCCCCTGAACTCGGGATGGTTCATTTTCCATGCTAGGCTCAAGGAGATGTAGGGAGACACCCACACCCAAAGGCCTCATCTCCAGTGAGGGCATCCATGGGAGATGGTGAGGAAGGAAGAAGGATGGGCACCGTGTGGTGGGTGGGATACTGGGGGCAGTTATCCCACTGATGTAAAAAGCTGGGAAAAGAGGAGAAAAAGGAGTATTTATTAACCACAGTGGTGGCTACTGGGGTGCTGAAGCCTGGGACTGGGACACGGACAGGCTTGCACAAGGGGGTCTTAGGTGACACAAGTGCATCAGGGCTCAGCTCTGCTCCCAAAGCAAAGACAAACTGATGGCTTTAGCATTGAAATCACCACAAATTGGATCCTGGGCTGATAAGGACCAGAGAGCACAAACAGCATTCCCAGCTCCCAAAAGCAGCAAGCAGAATCCGCCCATTTCACATCCTGGGCACCCCTCATCCATCCCATCTTTCACAAAACTCTGCTTTGGCAGCAAAGGAAAAACAGCTTCCGTTAATCGCTGGGAGCAGAGCAGCCGGACGCCGACAATGGAGCCAGCAATTGTGCCCGTGAACAGAGCCAGCAATCTGCAGAGTTCACATTTTTTGGCCCCGGGAGCGTTAGACAGAACAGTTTCCCATTGATAGCACCCGGCCAGTGCTCCCGTCCCCCCGCCAGCACCACCAGCTCCTCCACAGTTTTCAAATTCAAATTCAAGCTCCCTCCATGAACGAGTCCAAAACTTGTTCCTAAATCATTCATATGGAGCTTCCCAAAGGGCTGATTGTGCTCCCAGGTCTGTATGGACAGGGGGTACATGGCTGGGCTTCGCTCTGCCCCAGGGCAGTTGGGGCACCACAGAAAGGACCCCAGCCCTGAACCCTCTGTAGGGTTGTGTGATGCTTCAGGCTCAAAGCAAACAGTGTGTCCTCCAGTGCTTCCCAAAGTCACTGCACATGGATGGAGAGGCTGATACTATCCCTGGCTCCCAAAAACCCAAGAGGCTTCTGCCAGCTGGTTTTTTTTCTGCTGTGACAGGGTTTGCAGGGCAGGCTCTGGACATCTGCTGATGGATGTTTGTTCTGGTGATGTACAACCCCCCTTTCTGGGCACCTCCCAAACCTCCCCAGACTGTGTAAAGAGCTGAGCAATGCTGATAGCTTCACCCCAAGCTTGCTTTGAGCTGGTTTTATATGTCACCTCAAAATCCACTCTCAGAGGCTGAGTCCCAACACGTCCCCACAGGGGTTCCCCCGAGCAGTGGCTGCAGGGACCAGAGGGCACGGGACGGAGCTGTTAACGAGCTGCTTCAGCCCAGCAATTAGAAACAGGGAACAAAGAGCCATTCTCAGCATCCATCTGGGACACAGCCACCGGCACCCAAAGCTTTTTGTCCCCGTGCAGGGGATCCAAGGGGAACTGGGGCCACCCATGCCTCCATCCCCCACAGGGACCCCTGAGTGGAATGAAAAAATGGGATTTGTGGTTTGAAACTTCCCGGGACAGACAGACTTGAAGAGGGACAGAAGGTGTCTAAGGGATCTGATGGCAGCATTTGAGACTATGCCATGGGAGAGCATCCCTAGAGAAACAAGAGCCCTTTAATCTCACCCCAAAAAGCCCAAATAAGACTCAGAGCTTGCGGCCGAAGGAACCAAGGAGCTGGGAACACATTTTCAGGCTGGAATAGCTGGGACAGGCAACTTCGGCTGAGCCAAGGGAGAAGCTACTTTTTAACACTCTCCCCCAGTTAATGGCTCCTAACAGGAACACAGGGATCATAACTCTCTGCCACCCCTCTCATGACAAGTGTCCTCTCAATCTGCTGTACCAGCAGCACCAAACCTCTAACTTCTGGGTTGAACAGACAACTTCTGACCTAAAACTTGTGATCTCAAGGCCTGTCCTGACTCAGGGGACCACATTGCTATGGGTGGGGATGGGCTACATGTGACCTCACAGACACCAACTTAATTTCTGTCCTCACCAGTGCATCTTGTTCACACCTACCGAACAGCTGCACACAAATCCTGAGCATTGGTGGCCTGGCCAGAGCCCCAGCAAAAGGATGCTGTTATACCCAGCGCTGCTCCTGCTCTTGCTTATATTTTGGGTATTTTCCAAGCCTTTGAAGGGGGCAATTTTGGGTAGAAGGTCCTCTGTCCTTCAGGAAAGGACTCCCAGGGGCAGAGATATGCTGGGTATGGGGTAACTTCCTGGTGCAAGAAGCCCAGACAGGGACAGTACAGTCAGACCAAGAGCCATTAATGATTTCTTCCATAGCTAGGACCATACTGGACCCCATCTCAGTGCCATCTCAGCACCATGGGCCATCACCAACATACTGGTACCCCCAGTACATACCACCTAGGCATTGCCATATAGCCAGTAAAACCACATCTGGACACCTGCAGGGCCAAATTGCCATATTCCCATGTGTATTACTAGTCCCTGGTGGCCTTCATCAGCCTCACCTGGCCTTCATCATCTTCACACCCATCCACGGCCACACCTGGAACCCTCACCCCCTCCCATGGCTCAGGAGGTTATTTAAGCTCAGCTGGGGCTGCTGGTCCTCAATCCTGCTTCTGGCCATGCTCCTGCCTCAAGTAGGTCCTCTGGGTGGGTGCTGGCATGTGGGGCAAGTCCTGGGTTTGGCATAATCTTCAAGGTGGGTGTTAGACCCGTGTCACAGCCTTGTCAATGTCCCTGTCCTCTGGCTTCTGCCTCCTGGTCCCCTGATTCCAGTTGTATCTAGGACTGCCTGTAGACCCTGCTCTGGCTGCTGTTTGCTGGCCCTGGTGGGGGATGATGGGGAGCTCCAATGCTGGGGTCACCTTGGGCTCCCACTCACCTTCCTCCTGTGCCCCAGAAAGGGCAGAGGCAGCAAGGCTGGGGCAGCACCTTGCTTGCAGTGCTCTCTTTACACACTGCCGTGAGCCTGTCTGTGAGCTGTGAGAGCACAGCTAAGGTGAGGGTTATGTCAGTGCTGGTGGTGTGGACATGCTTTATCCAGGGCAGGTGGGACGTCTGCCATAGTGTCCTTGCTCAGGTTGGACATCTGGGAGGGTTTTCTACCTTACCAGGCCGCTCCAGGGCTGGTGCAGGTGTCTGACCCCGACAGGCAGGCCCTGCTGTGAAATGCCAACTCTGGCACAGAGGGTTTGAAAAGGAGTTCCTAAATTCCTCCCCTCAGACAGGAATGTCCATCCTCACTGATGATGGATGCCTGTAGATGAGGATGAGCTCCTGCCCACCTCTCCAGCTGCGGCTCAGGAGATATGCCAGCCTTTCAGGGTTTGGATTTTTCTTTCCTCTCTAGCTGATGGTGCATTAGGAGATGCAGAGGATGACTTGGAGGCTGCAGGGAGACCCCAGCCATGGCTGCAGCACTGCCTGCCCAGCTCAGCACTATCCTTCCCATCCCATCATTCAGTTACTTCAGGACAAGAGTGCAAGCCCCTGTGATGCTTCACCTTCAAAGCCCCACTTGAGTTTAGGTGGTCACACAGGCTTTTCCAACCACCCTCAGCAAGGGTCCCTATTTATTGAGGTGCTGGATGCTCCATGGGTGTGGGAATCAAAGGTACAACCTCAGCTAACCAAACTCTCTTGGGCTGGTGTAGTGTGAGTATTTCCTCTCCCGGGTCTGGGAACATCAGCTAGGCTCTAGTATCGCTTACATGGACTAAAATCCATGAGGTTTTTTTGTGCCCTGAGTGAAAATGAGGAGCCCTCCGTGGGAGGTGGTGGCTGGAAGAGGAGGAAAAAGGGAGCCACAAACTTGGCAGGAATTTTCTGGAGGTGGAAGGCAGGAGGAGTGGGACCGGCCAGGGGTTTCCTGAGAACTGCTGCCATGGTACAGGCACACTGTGGGGATTTTCTCATCACTCTGCTTCTCTCCTCAACTGCTGAAAGAATCAATAACTCTGAATCTTGTACTGGAAAATTCTGCAGGTGAAAGGAGAGACTCTCTAGCCTCCCACCTGCTTTTCAAACCCAGCAAAGGAGCTTGGAAGGGAACTGTGTCCAGCACACTGTGCCCAAGCACAAATCAGCTGAGGTACCTGGACAGGAGAGGAGATGAGACCTAAACCAAGCTTTATCTTCTCCCCTAAGAAGCTGGTTTCTCCCAGGGAACAATCAGCAAATTGCCCACAGTACCCTGAATCCTGGAGCTGCTCCTGCTTTCCCAGACCAAGGTGTTATGGAGAATAACAGTTGCCCTGGACCCTGACTGCCAGCCCCCAGTCCCTGAAGAGCAGACTTGGGGTGTGATTTTCAGCTGCCAGCCCACAGGTGACCCCTAGAGCTGGTTCCTTCCAGATGTCATCCTTTACCTCAGCAGCCATCACACCTGGCAGTTGAGGCCTTTGGGGTTCCACTGGGGGCAGAAAAGCAGCACTTGTTTTGTATGAGACT